GCCAAAACTGTGTTTGCTTGTTAAGACATACCTACATAGAATCATAGTTTTTGTTGTCCCAAAGTTCTTATGAAGCTTATTAATTATAACATAATTAACCACAAATAGGTGATTAATTTTATAGATACATTTTCTTTTCGTCTATCTTCGTCTGTACGTATGCCAGTCTGTAAGTACAAGTATGCTTGACAATTTATTGCTGCCGGTTAAATACAGGGTTTCCCAATCAGAGATGTTATTTTCATATTACAAAAAAAAAAAATGAATTTTTAGGATAAATTAACTGATCTTTGGAATAACTGAACTGATCTTTGGCTGCTATGGCTGAACTTACAGGACTGTATATATTTTATGAAATTTACCAATACCAAATCGCAAAGCGGCTGCTAGCTGTATGCCCTCAACGACTAAACGCATTCTATTTGTCAGGTCCTGCATCGACGTTGACCTCTTGCCGCAAACCGTAACTTTCACATGGCCCCAAAGGTAGAAGTCGCAAGGTGTTATATCAAAAGGTGTCGGTGGCCAACTGCCATCACCTTCTCGAGAGATACACCCGCTCCGGAAACTATTTTCTTAAAAGTTCAAGGGTTTAGTCACTTGTGTGGCAAGTAGCGCCGTCTTGTTGAAAGTAAACATTATCTAAATCAATATCATTCAATTCTGGCCATTAATCATCTCTCGATGGCGCAATCCCTTCTTCGTAACTGTTTCTATTTTTCGAAATAGGAAGATCCAATGACTCCGCCTGCCCATAAACCGCACCAAAAGGTTACGAAGTAGGTGAGGGTTTTCAATAATAAATCTTGTGATTTCCGAGCGCCAGATGCGACAGTTTTGCTTATTGACATAGCCATCGTGATGGAAATGGGCCTCATCAGTCAAGATGATTTTTCGATGAAAATTCGTATAATTTTCAAGCATTTCACGAACCAGATCAGCAAAGACGCGATGTTGTTAATGAACGTCCAACTTGAGTTCTTGTGTTAACTGAACTTTATAAGCCTTAAAACACAAGTCTTTATGCAAAATATGTTGTAATGACGTGTTGGTGGAATGTCAAACCCCAAAGAACGACGTAGAAAGGACAAATTTGGTTTTTTTTTTCAATACTTGGGATACAGCGACTGTCCTAGATTGCGCAGCGCGAGGTTTCATAATTTTGGGACCCTACTGCTGGATGGTTTATCGAAGATGGCTGGCTGAGAAAGATAATGAGGTTCATTAGAGAAATAAAAGGGATGGAGGATGAAGCCTGATAATTTATATTTTTGTGGTATCACAATGAGTCAGGCCCAAATGAACCCGGTCTGATAGATCGGTAGCCCCCGCAACCTAACCTAACCTGGGATACAGCAACAATATTCTCAGTTCTTCTTCATAGCTCTTACTTGTTCCAACAGCACCTTTTCTGTGTTACGGATCACGGTGACCGAAAAGTGTTTTAGTTTCACAAACCATCTCTACCAGGTTTGCACCATTTCTATAGTAAATTTTAATTTCAATGCGCTGTTGAAGCGTGCAGCGTTCCATTTTTTTACTGTTTTTACTTGCCAAATTTCAAAAAAATACAACTTCAAAAGTGACATCTACCGGAATGGCAGGCTGTTAAAAATAACACCAAACCCATATTGGAAAACCCTTTATGTATTCTCACAGCAACCTGGCGGAATGTGTGTACATATATATGTACTAAGCGTATAAATAGTTGATTATAGCTTTTGCCCTTGGATAGGAAATAAATGTATTACTAAATTAAAGCTTTCGATATAAATACTTAATCCGTATAATGGATTAGAGTCTTATCTGTATGATTTTAATTGCAGAAATTTGTTGTTGTTTTAATATGTGTGCTTTAAGTTGGCAGAAATTTATGCTATAAAGCAAATTCGATTAAATAAAATTTTTATTATTATTTTTGTTTTCATATTATAAATTTTTAAATAAATAAATATGTTAAGAAAAAATGATTTATAGTGATTTATACATTGGTACTGAAAGTGATCGAAATCGGGCTACATTTACATAGAGCTTTCAATCACCAATTGGTTCAGATATGAGGGTTTTGTCAAAGCTTCTTCATGAAGGCATCTTACAGCATGAAATTTGCTATTTTACATTCGTATCGTATCATTGGTATCGAAGAACTCTGCCACTAAAAAATAGTTTTTTAAATAAAAGAATTAATATTTAATACAAAAATAAACTAAAAAAAATTTAAAATTGTCATAAAGGTAAATGGTCACTCATTTCGTAGTATCGAAAGTACAGAGCTGTATTTTGACATCTGTCAAATTCAAATGCCAAATCACACTTACATTTTTTATTTAAAAAAGTTAAAAGTCAGGCATTTATCAAAACAGATCGCTTAAAAAGCGCACAATTACAAAAATAGTGGTTTAAATATGGCCACGTTTCGTGCTTTAAGATGAAGTTATGATGAACGGCAAGGAATGTCCGCCCCTCCGAGTGTTTTTGGGACATAAAATAAAGGATCCTCAGAAAAAAACAATCAGCCGTTCGGAGGCGGCCCCTGCATTTGTTGGAAAGCATCAAGACGCAAAACCAAAAATTGGAGGAGGAGCTCGGCCGAAAAATCGCTTTAGCGGTTACATACTGCCAATTATATGATGCATATAAACGTCCAATTACTCCAGCAATTGATAAAATTTTAAGGAAATTTTAAGAGACTAGATCGGGTAGAGATATTGTTAGCTCTGTGTGTCATTGTTTTGTTTCCTTCCATTTCAAATATCGCTACTGTAAGAGAAAGTGTAGCCGAAGTTCCGAGTTTGCCTATTTATCGCCTACAAGAGTTGGGATTTCCTTAGGGCGCACTATGAACTTGAACTTAGACCATTATGCGCCTGCGGTAGCCGAGTGGTTAGCATTGTGTATTGGCATTCGGAAGGCCAAGGTTCGAATTCTGGTTTGGTTAAGTTAAAGAAAATTAATTTAAACAAAAACTTAAGTTAAATTTTCTAAGTGGGGTCGCCGCTCGCCTTTCTCCGAGTATATTTCTCACACGAAATAATGGCTCCTCATAAAAATCATCAGTCCTTTTTAGGTGGCCTAATTTCAAACTCTAGGTGCCTCGATTTGTTGGAAAAACATCAAGATGCCATACTAGGCATACTCGGCCGAAAATCGCTTCAGCGGTTACAAAGCGCCAGTTATATATACTTGGACCTACATCTGTGCATAATATCTATATAAAGTCCACTTCACGTAAAACCTGAATTTAGCTGACCATTTATTACACCGTTAAAACGTCGATTGGGTATTTGAACAAAAAGCAGTGGATGGTGGTTTCTCGAACAAAATTTTTTCTGGCGGCGAGACTTATTTCTCGTTCGGGTGAAACAAAAATAGGTTAAATTGAGCATACCGAAATAAAAAAGGCCTTTACACCCAAAAAATCTTTTTGTCTGGTGCTGTTTTTAGTCTGGAGGTGTGATTGGATCTTAATCCTTTGAAAACGTCATCGGCGAGACTTTTACACTGTCAACTAAGAACGTTATGGTCGTATGCTAACCGTTTTTTTCCTGCTATAGAAATTTCCCAACGGCGTAATCTCTCATCTTGGCGATATCTATTGGCCACCAAGAGCGTGTGATTTGACAGCGGTAGATTATACGAAGATCGTGTTAAAGCGCATAAACCTTTAGCTCTTGAGCACTTAAAAACTCACTTTCGTCAAGTTATATCTGAGGCACTGTCCAATATGTGCAAAATTAGGCGTTGCTTTTATTAAACGGGTTAAGGGTTAAGGACACATTACCAAATTAGCCTTCACTTCATTTATCTGGCCCGATTTCGAGGATGACTCCGTCGTATGGAATCCACACTATTAATAGTATAGTGATAAATTAGACCTTTACTACTTCGTAATTCTGCTCATGAGCAAATCTGTGACTTTTGCATGTAAGAGACAAGCGCTCAGAGCAGTTCGGACAGTCACTCATTTTCGCTCACCAGTCTGCTGGATTTAGCCTAAAGGCGAGGCTCTCACTCGGAAGCAGGATAACGTTGGGTTTGTAGTTAAAAATTGAACTCCCGAGCACGTGGCTTTATCTTTACTAGCAATTTCACTCTTATGCTGAAACTACCCATCTTGCATACCTCACAGCCATAACTCCCAACTGTAACAGAATATACAAATACGAGTATTTTCTGTAACACAACCGTCAGTAACGGCATTGGCGATATATAAGATACGTTGCTATGGATAGAAAGTAAGTGAGATGGGTCTTGCAGTATAACTATCATCCAAATTAGCTAATTGAATGATAATGCCTTGAACGTACTTTATGTGCCAAAATGTTTACTCTGCCGTCCGCGTAAATGTTGACTAAGTTGAATACTTACCGGCCATCGGCACTTTGAGCACCCCAATCATCCCTGAGTAGGCAGAAACCTGAGAAACTCGGTGATTCGTACTTGTGGGTATGAAGTCGAGCCCAAGCAGACTCTTCGTGTGATTATGCTTCCGTCCAAGCACAAGCTCCACTGCTCTAAGCTTTATCGCAGCTTTCGCAGCGTCAGATTTATTAATTTAATCTTATATACTTTTGTTAATCGTGCAACCAATCGAACGGAAGTTTAATCAACTGCCCGGCCGGATGTTAAAAGCTATCTAGTTATTGACATATTTCCCGTGCTAATGTTGCTATTCTCCACACAGAACCATATATTTATAGTGAAAGGTGTTTCACCACTAAAAGCGAACAAAGAGTAAGAGAAGACCTTGCAACATTTGGCTACAACCGGAAAGCAAACAGAGAATGGTGACTTTTTACGCTGCCATGACTCGCCATTTGGTGTTAACAATGCCAAGGTGCTTATTTATGCATTTGTAGAAACGAATTGGAAACATGGCGACCCCAATGATGTTATATACGAGTATATGAATGGTTGAGAATAGTATTTATATATTCGATTTTTGCATCGAATGCCAATGGCTTGTATATCATTTATGTCATTTTATTTCTTTCACTTACCTTTTCCGCATCCAAACCGCCCGGAATTTGTGTACCATCCTTGGAGCAGAAGCAATATGGCAATTGGCACTCTTCGGTATTGCACCGTTGCGCTATATCAGCCGGGGCATCTGTTGCCGGTGATGGTGCTGCAAATTATAAAATAAAAGGTATATATGAGTGTAAGAAGAAAGCAAATAGAAGTATGAAAATATAAGGTAAAAGAGAAATCAAACCAGACCGGATACAAAGCAGAAATTAAACTCTCACTAACAGTCAAAGAAAAAGAAGAACAAAATCAACAGCAGGAGCATAATAAACCGTATACTCTTTTATTTCAGTAAGCGTCTTGGGAAGTAGGAGTGTGACAGAAAATATTCTCTTCTATAAACTGACTATCTTGAGCTATTTTCTCAATTAGGACATAATCCAGGTGTTAGCCGAAATAAGTCAAATTTTCAAAACAAACATGGAACCCACCACAGATGATGGCAAATGTCTTCGGATATCTGAGGTTGCAAAACCAACTGAAAGACAGGTTAGCTACTGTGTCTAGTCAGCTACGAAGTCCGGTTCCATTGAACGATACTAAATCTTATGCAGAGCTGACCCGTCAGTTTAACTACGGCTTTACAGATAGTCAGGGTTCGTGTCCTGGTTCGGCCAACATCAAAACTTGTAGAAAATAAATTTTTGTAATTACGGTCGCCCCTCGGCAGAGAATGCCAAGCCCCACGAGTATATTTCCGACATGAATTAAAAACTTCTAATATAAATCTATTAAAGTTGATGACCCTAAGCTCTCGATTTTATATAGATTTGCCGGCAGAAAGTGCTTATGTCAGTTAATCTGAAATTCATGGGCCGAAAAGTGTAAAATCCAGGATCGATATTTTTATGTCACAATGGGCCTGTTGGCTTAAATGTGCTGGGGTTAACCAGTAGCTTTTTCCATGACAACGCTGAGGATGGAGCATTTATTTTGTTCAAAACCTATTAAAATTTCTTTCTAATTTCTGACGTCAATAAATCATCTTCCACCGTTCAATTCAAGGTTGTCCGAAGTGCAGTATTAAAAGAACTGCGGCCGTTTCTCGCTCTGACTTAGCAGTTATTGGGTAGCAGGTGGTATTATACATATAATTGGCGCTTTGTAACCCCTGAACCGATTCTTTTCGGCCGAGTCCCTAGCTCCCCGCCCACATTTGTGGTTTTTCGTCTTGATGCTTTTTCCAACAAATGGAGGGACCTACAGTTTATACTAAGTTGACTACGAACGGCTGATGGTTGCGGCTGCGGTTAGCATAGCGTACTGCCATTCGGAAGGCTCGGGTTCAAATCCTGGTGTCGTAGTAAAACCACCCAAAAAAAATAAATGGAAAAAAAAAATTAGTTTTAATAAAGAATTAATTTCCATTTTCTAATTACCGTCGCTCCTCGGCAGGGAATTTCAACCCCTCCCAATGAATTTTTGACATGAAATGAAACTCCTCATAAAAAACCATCAACAGATGGTATTAGTGCTTCTAAAAAGTTGTTCAAAAAAGTGGGATTAATATCTTCTATCGGTTTCATTGGAACTTATTCTTTCATTACTTCCCTTAGTCGGCTGCACTATGCAGAAAGAGTTTATTAGAATTGTTTAATGGAATGAAGATGAGTGGGATTCGACATGTCTATTTGTCTGTTCGTGGGTGGTAATGATATATTTTGATGAAAATTGGTGCACACTTTTCTTGGGTCACTACAAGTTGCCTCCACACTTGTGATATTGGATCAAGTTGATTCCAAAAATAAATGCGCAATTAAATCATCTTTGTTAGGGAGAATCACATAAAATGGAAAAAATTTTATACTAAACTGTATTTTACGATAATTTCCATGGTCTATAAATCAAGAGGTAGACCCAATACCTCCTAAATAATTGATCTCTAATTGTTATCATCGTTTCCACCCAAACTGAGCACTTCCTTACCTGTTTTTAATTTGTTCTTGTAGCACAGATATTTATAAGGACTGTTTGACCAATTCAATTTCTATCGTCTTCGTTATTGATATCTTAGAACAAATACAACAATGTCATCGATTGATATTGTGATTGCGAAATTGCAATGGCATTTCGTTAAGTGAAAGGAACACTTTGTTGAATTATGCATGAACGTAAAGTTAGTCCGTTGCACCGTCTGTCAGCCTCAATACCCCGCCCTGAGTCATCACTTAGAGTGCGCTAATGGCAGTGAGGGGGTTTATAGTGGCACTCTACTGTTTAGTTGTGTGCCAAACGGTGCTATTATATGCATACGAGTCCAAATAGGTATGGCTGAACATGTGTATATGCCTGTATAGGTGTGTGTAGCAATTTGCTTTTATTGAATGCAACATATGTTTGATTTTGTAGTCTAATGTTGTTCAGCTAAATGCATACATTGTTATGTTAAATACGTTATTTGTATGCGCATATGTACTCGTACATATGTGTGTATGTATATGCAATAATGTGGCTTGGAGTAACTACAAATACTCTTAGACAAATCACCTATCGACGTTTGCATTAATAGGTCATAGCAATTGTCCTTTTAGTTACGTTATAGATCCATACAATGCATTCGTCTGTAGATGATATTATCTTGTTGCTTTTGTTTTTGTATTTAACACCTGAATTTATTGCGATTCAGCAGTTAAATAGATTGTATTGAGATTGCAAAATAGAAAGTGATTGATTTTATACCGTAAGCAGGTAGTGCAATTTTGTGTTAGAGAACACAAAAACAAAATATGAACGAAAAGGAAAAAAAAAAATAAAAACTAAAAAAAAAAAAAAAAAAAAAAAAAAAAACAGAAACAAATACAAAAAAAAAAAAAAGAAATAGATAACAAAACAAAATAGAAACAAAAACGAAAACAAAAACGAAAATAAAAACAAGAACAAAAAACCAAAACGAAGAAAAAAACAAAAGTAAGATAAAAATAAAACAATGCAGAACAAAAACAAAACAAAAAGAGGACAAAAGCAAAACAGAAAACAAGTGCAGAAACAAAAAAAGAAGAAACAAAACAAAAAACAAGAACAATAAAACCAAAAGAAAAGAGCAAAAGCAAAAAAGAAAAACAAATCAAAACAGAACAAGAGAAAACCAAAAAAAAAAAAAACAAAAACAAAGTAAGAACAAAAACGAAATAAAAACTTGACAAAAGCAAAACCAAATATAAACGAATGCCAAAAAATAGAAAAGAAAACAAAATGGAAACTAAAAAGTAACAAAATCAAATAAAAAAGAAAAAATTAAAAACAATAGAAAAAGCAAAAAGGAAACCAAAACAAAGTAAGAACAAGACAAAATCAAAACTGAAACAATACAAAAACAAAAACAGAAGAAAAACAAAGTAAAATAGAGAAATACATGAACAAAACATAAACATGAAAATTACAAAAAAAAACCATAAACGAAAATAAAACAAAAAATAAAATAAAGTAAAACCAAAACAAAAGCGAAACAAATACTAGACATAAACAAAAACAGTACAAGAAGATAACAAAAATAAAAACAAGAGGAAAAACAATAATAAAGACAAATTAAAAAAAAATATTAAAAACAAACAAACAAGAAAAAAATAAAAACAAAAGCAAAAACAAAAAAGGAAGCCAAAAAAAAAAGTAAAAACAAGACAAAATCAAAACTTAAACAATACGGAATCAAAACCGAACTAAAACAAAGCAAAATAGAAAAAAACACAACAATAACAAGAAAATTACAAATAAAAAACAAAAATTAGATAAAAACAAAAGAAAAAAGCAAACAAAACAGAAAAATAACAAAAAAACTAAACGAAACGAAATAAGAAACAAAACCGAGGCAAAACAAACACAAGGAAAATACAAATAAAAAACAAAAATAAGATAAAAACAAAAGAAAAAAAAAAACAAAAAAAACAAAACCAAAAAAAAAAAATAATAATAGAAAAACAAAATAAAAATGAAACAAAAATAATATCTAAAGCAAAATCAAAAACAAGAACCAAATCAAAAATAAACGAAGAGAACAGAACAGAAACAAAAACAACAACAAAAAAGGAAACCATACAGTTTTTTTTTTATTTTTTACATACTTCTTACTTCAATTTCTTCGCATTAAATGTGTTTAATTCTTAAAAGCTACGGATTTTTTAACAAAGCGGGACACAATCAGCAAAATAATAGATTCTCTGTGACAAACCTGTATAGAGGAAAGTTTCTGAAGATGCCTATGATAGTATGACCTTGACATCCAGAGGCTAAGCGAACCCAACTCATCAAGGCTATGTCTTCTCATTTAGCTGTGGGGTTTAAGTAAGCATTATCGAACTCAATTGATGAAAAGTGAAGGTTGGGGCTTACGAAACGGCCTTGAGTTGATTACATCAATCCTGTTTTCACCATCAATGAAATTACGTAGCGGAATTTATGGTCCCAAGCGAGTAAAAATGTTAATATTAGTAAATTATAACCATATACGAGTATATCAAAATTGCAGTCAGCGGTATATCAATCTCATTCTCCCGCATGGAAAATTATTGGGGATGGAGTAATTTCCCAATCGAACAGGGCTAGTAAATAAATAACGATATGTATCGCCTATTGCACTAGCTTAGCGGTAACTTGGGTCTTAAATTTTAGCATGTAGAGTAGCCTTAGAAAATCAGCATAGTTTTAGGAATTTTAATAAAATATAAAGAGTTGCAGTTACCACAGAATCAGACATATACTCAGCGACGTTACTAGCGCCGCAATCCATTTTGTCCATCAAAATTGATTTATTTAGTGTCAGGTAGATAAAAGGCTTGCATGTAAGTGACTATCTCTTTGAATTTACAAATTCTGGTATTTTACCTAAATATTGTATGAATATTGCTAATTTTTTTTTAAATTATTTCATTACTTTGGAACACCTTTTGCTTGGAGTAGCTGAGATTGTCCTCAATTGACTCGGTAGTGCTTCAAAAATCACTTCGCATCTGCTTCAAAATTGAAAGAAGAGCTTGTAAGAGACTCAGGTGTAAGTAGTTCAACCCGAATAATACAGCGAAAACTGAAAGACATGCATGCGCCTAGAATCGTACCCGCTTCTGGCGGCGAAAATGAGACGTATAAGACTGGAATGGTTGAAGTTGG